AAACTACGCTTCTGGTGGTGCCGGACTTCTCGAAGAAACTAGCCAACATTTAGTAAGAACAGAATCAACTTAAGACTTAAGAGCGAGAGCTAAAAACAAAAATACTTTTACATTTTTTTTTTTCTGGTATTTCGTTAATGGATGAGTTTTCTTTCCAGGTAAAGTATAAATCATGTGATTTATCAAATTATTATTAAAAAAAAACTCACATCATGAATCACAAGGAATCAAATTATAAACTATACTATTACATGTTTTAGGTGACTAAGAATAATAATGTGGTCCAGGGAACTAATCATTTGACTTTAATTGATTTGCTTTTCTGGCAGGGGACGTTAAAATCACTCATGTATTTAAAACTTAAATTAATTACCTATGGATTATGATATATTCTTTTTGACAAATATATATAGGGTGAAAGAATCAGTTTTGAAAAGCAAATAACGAATCACCGGAACATGATTTTGACGGCGGGAGTTCCACCGGAGAAGCTTAAGAAGTGTCTATATACAATTAATATTGGAAGCAATGATTATCTCAACAACTATTTCATGCCGGCTCCATACACTACCAATGGCAATTTCAGTTTCGATGGATATGCTGATTATCTAATTCGAAGTTATCGCTCTTATTTGAAGGTATAAGACTGTATATGCTAAGATCTTAAGAAAAAAACTAATATAGGAAGGTAGAAATGATGGAGTAGATTGGATATTTTTCTCTAAAATAAACTCCTAATCATATATCTTTAAGTACATTAATTAATTTAGTTGAACGATACATTTTTGTGTTTAGTCATTGTACGTCTTAGGAGCAAGGAAAGTGGCGGTGTTTGGGGTGAGTAAGCTTGGGTGCACGCCGCGGATGATTGCCTCCCATGGTGGAGGTAAAGGCTGCGCTGCTGAAGTAAACAAAGCAGTCGAACCTTTCAACAAGAACCTCAAAGCTCTCGTATTTGAATTCAATAGAAACTTTGCTGATGCTAAGTTCACCTTCGTTGATCTTTTCAGCAGCCAAAACCCTATTGAGTATTTCATTTTAGGTAAGTACACTATAAATATTAAGGGTCCCAAATATTAATCTCACTGCATTTTTGACCTAATAGGAAAAATTCCAAAATAATACATTTTGTGAAATATTATCATCATGACTGTTACTTACAAAAGCTATTTATTAAAAACCACACGTGCACACAAAACTTTATATAAATATCTTGGATAAGAACGTTTTAAAGTGTATTTGTTTCTTATACTAAAAACAGAAAATACTGTAGTTTGTTTTGTAACAAATTAAATTTCAAGATTTGACCAATTAGAAAAAAAAATTTTCATAGTAACATAATTGCAAAAACTTTTTTTTTAAATTCTGTTCCTTAATTAGTTAAATCATTAATATATCACATATAATTTTGTAGGGTTTACGGTAACAGACAAAAGTTGTTGTACGGTAGAATCAGGGCAAGAACTTTGTGCGGCAAATAAACCGGCTTGTCCGAATCGAGGACAGTACGTGTACTGGGACAATGTCCACAGCACAGAAGCAGCTAATAAGGTTGTTGCAGAGGCTGCGTTTGTCGGACTCATTACGTCTCCTTACAGTATTTTACTGCTTACACTATAATATATATATATTTTTTTTAAATGTAATGTTAAATTATATTCAAAAGAAAAATATAACGTTTTTACAACTTGTGCATCGGATTGCTGAAAAAATATAAGCTAAAAGAAAGCTAAACGAAAGTTAAACGTTTCCAAGTACAAACTTCGATTTAACTCCGAGCTTTGATCCAAGATTGGTAGGCTGCCTCATATCGCATATCACCCTTTATGCGAATTGACGATATTTGGTTCTTTACACTATAATATTGCTAGTAAAGCCTGAAAAGATATCATTATCCTTCCAAATACCTTGCAATAATTTAAAATTAGTATTGCTAAATTGTTGCAAAATGCAACCATACTTTCATTGCAAGATCATACCAAATGTTCTAATGGAGAAGGACGATCTCTAAATTCTATAGCAATTTTTTTTTGTTTGTTTAAATGCTAATTCTGTAGTAATTTTATTATAGTAAAAACAATAATATATATAGTTTATGTGTGAATTTGTTATTACAATTCAATAATCACAACAATATAAGTAGAATTCAAATGAAAATGCATAAATATTTGTATACGTCATGTATATAAAAAGAGACAAGCCTAGATATCGTCATAAAAGTGTTTCTTGAAGGCCTCCATGTGAGCCACCTGTAGACACGTAGCAAGAATCACCGAGCCATCTTCGTTTTGATCCGGCAAGATCAGCGAGTCGCCGTCGAAATCATGCGTGCCTGGTCCCGTGTAGAACTCCTTGCCCCATCCGAAATCAAGGCCATACATTGGCAAAGTTAACCAGCTAACCAATCCAAGATTAGGGTTTCCATAGAATGGACCTTCCGCGCTTCCCAAGGCATGTAGGTCTTGAAACTTCTTCAGATCTTCTTGGTTCTTAAGATACTCTATCCCAATCATCACGTATTCGTTTGTTACATTCTTTATGGCTTTACTGATTAAACTTGCCGCGAAACCCAATTCATTCGATATCAGTTCGCCTATACGCATAACAACATTATCGAAATTAACTCAAAAAATCAATACATACTAGGTAATGCATGTAAACACAATCTCAGCTATTTAGGATAAATTCTCAAATATAACTAATTACTGAAGTTGGAATTTCAAAGTAATGAACAAAACATAAATTTTATTTAGGAGATTAAATTAAAAAATTTTAAAAGTGTAATTCAATTTTTATTTTTATTCTCAAATTCACAAAACAAAACAAATTTCTATGAATAGTAATAGAAAAAAAAACGTACCTGAGGTGCTTGCTGCGACCACGTCAAGAGTAGCATTGCCGAAGTAGCCACGGGGCAGAGGTGGCTGCATCCGACTACGAGTATCTATACAGATTCCTAGAGCCGTGGGTTGCTCCGGAGAATGGCCACGTGCTTTACACGCGCACCTCCACACGTGTCCCGTGACGGTCTCGTACCGTGTAAACCCTTTCGCTGGGTCAGCGTATTTGCTTGCGTTCGCTTTACTTCTTAGCTTCTCCAGCTGAGATTTGCTCAGTTTTAGCATGACAACAATCGTCTTCTTCTTTCTCTCTTCTACATTGTCCGTTTCTCCGATCAAAAACGGTGGCTGATCAAACTCTTTGTGATCGAACTTTGGCGGCGACTCAAACGGTGGGAGAGGTTCACCAGCCCAGAGGATTTTCCGGTCTAGAAATGGAACGGTTTCTAAAGGTTCACCGCGCGCTAGTCTTCCCCATTCCGATATTAAGTGAAGCGCGCTTTGGCCATCGACGATCGCGTGGGAAACGTTGACGCTAAGGCTTAATCCACCGCATTTGAATTTGGTAAGCTGAGCTAAAAATAGAGGAATCGTTTCGATAGGGTTTTTATAGTTTACTTGCGGCATAAGATTCTCGAATTCCGGCGTAGGAGAGAAATCTTTGAAATCCGAAAGCTTTCCTTCGGATTCCGCTTCGATGAATTCCACTCCCTCGGCGTTACAATTGAGCTCGAATCGCCCCCGAGGGAGCCATCTGAGACGGCCAGCCATGGGGTAAAAATGGACTAGCACACGGCTCAACGACTCTTTTAGGGTTTCGACTACATTGCCTTGGAAAGATTCAGATGGCTTATCATAGAAATAAAGGGTGGGAATGTGAGTTATTGTACCAACTTGATCCCACTCGGCTAGTGGAAACCGACCGGTCCACGTTGGTTCGGCCGGTACTATAGTGTAAGATTTTCTAAAAATTATGGGAGCCATAACACAAACACCCTTTCTTTTCTCTTCTCTTTTTGAAGTTCGTGCTAAAGTAATGTTTATATAGTATATTGAATCATATGGATTAATCGTATTTTAATTTGTAGCAGTTGGTCAAAAATGTTTTTCTCGTGGTTAAGTTTGTTACCTTGTAAGCAGCTCAATTAGTGGAAGTGATAATAAGGTTTAGTTTTGTTGGTTATATGATCATGCGTATTGTCCTTTTTCTCTATTTTGTTCACATTATCGACAAATATATAATATCCCATGAAAAAAAAAAAAAAAAATTCATATATCATGAGGTATGAACCTTGTTTGAAAAATCGCTAGGCGCTAGTCGGGCGCTCGGCATGGGCCTAGCGATTAATCGGAAAATCGGATTAAAATCGAGGATTAATCGGGGATTAGTATTAGGGTTATTTTAATATTCTTAAAACATATCAATCCAATATTATTTTCAAAATTGCAGTAAATACATAAAAATGTATTTTTGAGACAAATTTTTATGATTTTTATTACAAATTTATGATTTTTATTAAAATTTGAACATAAGTTATTGTAAAACATTACAAAGTCCCAATTCAAATGATTGAATAACAAAAATTAAAAGTTTTTTTATACTAGCAATCTAAAAATAATCGGGGTATGTAAGATTAGGCGGAGAATAATCGGATTAGGCGGGAAGTAATCGGATTAGGCGGAGAGTAATCGGGTGACTGATTTCTTTAGAGGATTAGTCATTAATCGAGGCGGATAGGGTGGGCCTAGCGATTAAGCGGGGAGTAATCGGGTCTAGGCGGGGATTTTTAGAACAAGGGGTATGAACATATTTTAACAAAAAAATAAATGAGGTATGAACATGTAAACCTAAAATTCATATCAAAATTAGGAAATGTGTTCTATGTTTTTTCATAAATGAATATAGTGTAAATCTAAGCCAGTAATACCAAAGTAAAAATTCTAAACTATATTCATTTATAAAAAAAAACTAATATGTTTATTTTTAGTTTTTACAAATTAATACAACACTCCCAGTAGCTTGCAGTCACTAGCTTTGCCTTAATGGGTAGTGCGTGGGCCTTTAAAAGCCCAATATTGGTGGTATATTAATAAACCCTAGTTAAAACCCGACCGACTAAACCCGGACCAAAACCCGGACCCGACTGGATCTTCTCTTACTTGAGAATTATTCTTCTTCTTCTTCTTCTTTAGACCCGAGCTCTCTCACACACAAACGGTAATGGAAGGCGATCAAGAGACGGAGGTTTATACTTTGGTGGCAAGGAAACCTTCCTTCGATCTCCCAACAGCTTGCCCTAATTGTCTTCCTGCTTACATATACCTCAAACTAGCCCAGCTTCCTTTTGAACTTGCGTTCAATTCAACCTTCCCTGATTCAGGTTCGCTTCGTAGTTTGGTTTTTAGATTAAGGTTTTGGTTGCGTGATGTGTATGTGCTGGAATTGCTCATTGTTAATTCTATTAGCTTGAGGATTGAGATTCGAAGCTCTTGCCTCGTCGGTTAATCAGAGCTTAAATTAGGTTTTTAGGTATCCTTTGTTCACTGATATACAGATTTTTTGCATTAGATAATTGAAGTTTTGTTTATTTGAGTATTGATCATGTTATCATTTGTTTTTGTTTTGGTGGTGTTATGTAGATGAACTGCCGTACTTTGAAAGTGGAACATATGTTGCATATAACAATGAAGATGGAGGAGTCATTGAAAAACTGAAGAAAGATGGGATTGTTAATCTGGACTCTCAGCTTCAGTCTCTTCCGGATTATTTGTCGTTGAAGGCTCTTATTGTTTCTTGGCTGGAAGAAGCGCTTACCTATGAGATATGGGTTGGTACCGAGGGGATATCTACTACGAAAATCTACTATTCAGATCTTCCTTGGGTGATCAGCAAGGTTCTGTTTTATAAGCAGACATACTTGGCCAAGAACCGTTTAGGAATCACCAAAGAAAACGCAGAGCAAAGAGAAAAACAGGTCGGCTTTGCTTAAGTTGTGGTTTATATTTTTGAACATTTGAACTAGTTACTAAAGTTCTTAGTCTTAAAAATGAACAGATATACAAGAGAGCAAGTGAGGCATATGAAGCCTTGTCGACTAGGTTAGGCGAGCAGAAGTTTCTCTTTGAAGACAGGTATTGCAATCACATTGATGAACTGGATTCTTTCTCTTTAGCCTTTTATAAAAGATTGACAATGTTTCTCTTATTCTCTTCCCACAGGCCATCGAGTTTGGATGCTTTCTTACTCTCGCACATGCTTTTTATTATCCAAGCATTACCGGTGAGCAGCTTTAGATTTCTCCTATACACTTTTCAGTTATTGGTTTATCTGGTAGAATCCAGCCTTGGAACTATTTAGATGAAGTAGTTTTCGTGATGTCAGGTAACATCTGTGCTTCGGTGCAAACTCCTGGAACATAGTAATCTTGTGAGATATGCTGAGAAACTTAAGTCAGAGTTCCTTGAAGCTTCTTCTTCATCTCCTTCACCTCCACTTCACTCATTCCCTTCCTCATTTCCAAGAAAGAGTAAGACACATCCTACCTTCAACGTCCATATCATGTACTCTTCATATGTCATATTATATATCGGTCATATATGCAACATTAATTGGATATGTTTAAGCCTGTGAAGTAATGAATTTCATCTGTTGTTCAGGTTCGAAGCCAAAGGGCAAACCAAAGGTGGAAAAGACCGAAGAGGAGAAAAAATTTAAGAAAAGAGCAAGATTCTTTCTAGCTGCTCAGTTTCTAGCCGTCGTCGTTTACGTATCAGTAATGGGAGGAGGTAGTTCTGAGGAACTGGAGTATGAAGATGAAGATGACTAAACTGAAGCTTCTCTTATTAAATGGACCGGTAACTCTCAGGCAAACACTTCTTAGACTAAGAATAATCTCTACGCTTTTTTTCTTGAACTCTTGGTTATGGAGCGGATTACAGATGTGAGATTAGTCGTTTTTGTTCTGAAGGAGATTCTATTGGCTTTTATATAAATTTCATTGGTTTTTAAGACAATGTACTAGCAGGTAGCCACATTAAGGGAACCGGTTCACCGGATAAAATACCGAAATGTGGTAGACCAGAACCCAAAATTAGAAGACTCTTGATACATCCTCAAAATCAACTGAACTAACTCTATTTGTCTTACTAATAATACAAATCTCATCCATCTAAGAAACTATCTTCTGATAGCAAAAGATGATGCCAAAAACCTACCTAATTCTAAACTCTCTAAAACCAAATAAATTTAATAACAAGTACTAGGAATTGAAATTTACATCCGCGGGCTGCTGCTCCGACGTATCGTCCGCTGGTTGGTTAACAAGCTTTGAGTGTTCATCGGCCGAGTTGATGGAAAACTCAGCGAGTGAACTCACTGCAACAGACATTCCATGGCAGAGAACCTTCACAGCAACCTCTGCAAGTTTCTCAGCAGTCATCACAACATCTTCTTCTAGCTTATCAGCCACCACAAGGTCCATGCTTTCTGACCCGGAATATCTCCTTGACCCGCTTCCACTCCAATTTGGATCTTCTCTAACTTGCCTTGCATATATTGAACCCATCCCTGAGGCAAAGAACTCAAGTTTGTCCAAAACCGGTTTCTCGTTCAAGCTGTTAAGCAACCTTGCCCATTGAATGCAGACTCGGTATATCGGGTGAGGACATGAGGATAATCTAACTTTCTCGGGGTCAGGATCACATCTGAAACATCTGAGAAGCCAACCAGATAATGCTTTCATATAGGATCTCTGAGAGGTGATCCAGAATTCAAAACAGGCTCTCCAGTTTCGAAGCTGAGCTTCAAGATTCAAAGCAGATTGAGCTAATCTTTGAGAGTTAATAGCCTCTGGCAATATTGGAGGTTGTCTCTTCTTGTGACGTTTTGAAACTGGTGTCCCTGCAAGTAACAGTTTGGCTTCGTCTAGTGTTCGTTTCTGTATCTGGTGACTTTCTGCCATCACTTTCCACATCCTTGTTAATCTGTTATGATCATAATTACCATTTGTCAATCTTAGTGTTAAGAGAAACTGAAGAAGAAGAAGTTGTTTGTGTTACCCTTCAACGAGCTCAAGAAGCTGAGGCAATAGTTCTTGGTCACGAAGAGTCTCGATTCTTTTGGAGATGGATTCAATCGAGTGTATTGACACCTTGATCTGTGTGTCTAGATCTCTGATTGTAGCCCTCGTTTTATCAACCGCAAGCGGATCATCTCCTTTCACGTCCTGATTCCTCAGCTGCATGCATTTCTTCTCATATGCTCTTCGAACACGTTCTCCAGACTGTTACAACAACACAACAGAGATTAATATAATTGAGATTACGGTAGTCACTAGTTGCTTATATCTCTTGTTACTTACCCTAACTTCATCGTAGAGTTTCTTCTCCCACGCGAAAAGTCTGTCCAATGTTGTTTGGTGGCTACCAGAAATCATGCAAGATTCATCTGAAACATCGCTTCTGCTTTCAGACCCGCTCTCTCTCGAACCACCAGAAGAAGTGATCAAGAATCTTGACGAGGAAGATCTTGATGAACCCGAGCGGAACAACGCTACTGGATTCAGCATTTTCCTGGCTACAAAACACATAAAATAGGACTTCATATATAAGTCAAGTCATAAAACAGAAAAATATTGCAACATTTTTCATAAACTTACCACTATGGTCATTGGAGGATGAAGTGTATTGAGCTCTACTAGCTTCCAATAGCCCTGAAACTTCCTTAGCCGCATCACAAATGGTTGTGAACTGATCTTCAAGATCTTTGATTACTTCAGCCATGCTAGTTGGTCTCCGGTTCACATATACCGTGAAACCTGTCGTCTTTGCATCATCTCTAACACCAACAACATTCTTCATCTCTTGAACCTTACCTACTCCAACAACATTCCCTGTAGTTTCTCCTCCTCTAGATACCTCAGCTTTTCGCTGTTCTTGCGTTGGAGCAACGCATTTCTCATCTCCCTCATTCTCAGATTCACACCCGCTATCCGTAAACTCATCATCCTCATCTTCATCCTCGTCCTCATCCTCGTCCTCATCAACATCTTCAACTTTAACTTCCTCATTGCAACAACTCTTATCAACTTTACCTCTACTCTCTTCCGTTGCTTTCGGATTCGGATTATGATTCTGAAACCGCACATTCACAGGTTCAGGTTCATTAGGTTCATCATCTTCTTCCAAATCCGGAATCCCTTCTTCCTCTCTAACACGTCTCAACCCTCTAATCTCATCATCTATACCACTCCTATTATCAACACTTCCTCTATCATAACTATTATATCCATAATATTCCAATGACGAAAACGGATTCCAAAAGAAATCCCACTGCGAATTCTGCGGTGAAGGAGGAGGAATGTTATGACTACTTAACCTTTGCTCAGGAGAACTCAACGGATTCCAAAACGAAGATGAAGTAGACGCAGAAGTATTCATATTCATATTCATATTCATTCCAAAGAAACCATCTGCTTCACCATATTGGTTACTAGGTGGTGAAAATGTCTCGACTCTAAACGTTTCAGGAGATCTCTGTTCTACTCTAACCGGTCTACTTCTATTAGCCATCAAGTAATTCGCTTTCACATTCGATCTTGGCCTACTCTGAATCATTTTCGGAGGAATCGAAGAAGGCGAAATCGAGATGAACTCACCGCTATTACTACTACGGCTGCTGCGGTTGCGGCGGCTTGGTGGTATTCTCTTAACAGGAGTGACGAATGAGTCTTGACTCATCGGAAGAACAAACTCATTGTTGTTGTCTCCTTGGATAATAAAGTCATGGAGAGCATCAGAGACATTTCTAAGAGAGTGAATATAAGCAATGTGACCAGAAGCAAACTTAGTTCTATGTTCTATAGCTTGTTTGATGAAACGTTTCCTGTCTTTACAGATCTGAACTGCTTCTTCATCATCTAACTTCGAATGAGAACATCCCATTTCTCTCTACTCTTCTCTTTTGAGCTCAAATCCAGAGCTCAAGACTCATACAAAAGCTATGAACCAAGTGAGAACAGAACAAACTAAAGACATAACTATGTCTTAACTTACATTAACTGAGAAAAAGACATTAAGAAGATTCTTTGCTTAGTTTACAAGACAAAGCTCTTTAATCCTTAAACCCTCTTCAAGAATGAGTGTAAAATCTAAAACCCATGAAGAGATTTTGCTGGTTTACTATGAAAAAGGTGAGATTTTTACTCAGAATGACAGAAACTCAGATGAGAAATTGTGTAAGATCTTGGATTTGGTCTAGTGAAAATGCCAAAAGTGATGAGCAAACCCAGAAAAGAAGTTATTGAAGAAAGAGAGAGAGAGAAGGCAAAGAAGAAGAAAAAAAACCTAATAATGAGTCAAAAGGGACTGGAGGAGCGTGAGGATACACAGTAGAGAGAGAGAGAGACGTTGGAGAAAACAACGGTCAAAATTATTGTCGGATTTTGAAGGAGAGAGAATGAAAGAAATAGTGAAGTCAAGACTCACAATCAAGAAGTTGAAGAAGAAGACAGAACCAACATTAAAAGAAATAAATTTTGTTTTTGTTTTTGGTCGAAATTAAAAGAAATGATTAATTAATAAATAAATAAAGTGAATGGAAAATGGTTAACCTAAATTTAATAAAGCTACGAAGAATATATATTGGCTAAGAGAAAGACGGGACACGGAATACGACTTGCTTATTTTGTTTCTATCCTCGCTTTTCATGTTTATTTTCGATTTTGCCATTCTCAAATATTTCTTGTCTTTTTCTTGTACTTTATGATGTTATGGCATAATCTATTGATGTTATTGTTAACATTTCATTTATTTTCATACCTCAGTTGTTATACTGATATTAATTTCAATCTTATAATAACATGAAAAGAAACAACGATGCGATCAGTGTAAACTACTAAATTATATACTGATATACATTTTTTTAATAATGATTTATTTGGTAACTGATAAACTACATAAGTTTTATTTTTTTAGTTTTACTGATCTATTTATTTTTGTGGAGTGGTAATATCTTTTTTCTTTTTTTTTTGTCATTCTACTATGATAGTGATAAAATTTAACAGAAATTCAATATTTACAAAAGCAAATTTGAATTACTTTTGCTTGATAATTTCATTCGAGGACAAATTTTACTTGCATGGTGGATTGTTTTATTTGCATGGTGGATTGTTTTGTGTAAAATGAAATCATTCGTAAGCATGGGTGATTTCGTAAATACATAAGCATCACCAGTGGGAAAATACGTTGGAAAAATTTAGGAAAAGCAACAAAAAGAAAGGACCGGCCTGTAAAGTAAAAGACACGATCTGGACCCACATTCTTAAAAGATACTATCATCAAATGCCTCGATACCTGATACTTCTTTTTTAGTCCTTGGGTATTTTACATAATTACGAAGCTGCCATCAACTTTAAGAACTAGAATTTTGGCCCAATCTGTTTTACTGGGCCAGGCATTTAGAGTCATATCTAGCCCAGTGGACATTATTATCCTAAATTTTAGGCATGGGCTTTCCGTTAACCGGTTGGGTCCATTCGGTTTCGGTTCTTTCGGTTTCAAAATTTAGTATCCATTCGGTTATTTTGAAATTTCGGTTCGGTTTCGGTTCGGTTCCGGTTTTTTCGGTTTTAAAATTTAGTATCCATTCGGTTATTTTGCTTAGGATATTTTCGGATATTTCAGTTATTTTTGAGTATTTTCGGATATTTTCGGATATTTTTGGATATATTTCGGTTATTTTCGAGTATTTTTACTATTTATATATATTTTTCAAGTATTTTTGATTATTTGGTTTATAAATAACTAACTATTTTGAAAATATAATTGTATTTCGGGTATTTCGGTTACCCGAAATATTTTGGTTCGGTACCGATTTGGTTACGGTTATTTCGGTTAGAGAATTTAGCATCCATTCGGTTATTTTCAAATTTTTGGTTCGGTTCGGTTCGGTTTTTTTTTCTTCGATTTCGGTTCGGTACATTCGGTTCGGTTTATTTGCCCAGGACTACT